GTCAGCTACTTCAGGACCCAGGCAGCAGGAGGGCAGGGGGCATTAGAGCGGCCACCTGGGACATTGCTGGCTTGGGGGCATGTGGGTGGAATTCAGGCACACCATGCCCTCCAGCCCCCACTTTCCTGCCTGGCACATGCCAGCCATCTGCAAGTGGAGAGGAGGGCTCCAGAGAAGAGTTGTAGGGTATGGCCAGAACAGGAAACCTGGCAGCAGGGGCTTTGACAGCCAGCTGGTAACCTATCTACTGGTCTCCTGCCTAGGGCACACCTATGATCGCTGTATTGTGGTGGATGGAGAAGAGGCATCACTCATGGTCTACGACATTTGGGAGCAGGTAGGGTACAGGCTGAGACTCAGGGCAAGGGTGGGAGGAGTGAGTTGGGATAAGATCTGGGAGTGCCAGGCTTGTTTCGGGGACATGAGGACTGTTGGGTAGATGTGTGTGTGTGTTCCCCAGGACGGGGGCCGCTGGCTGCCCGGCCACTGCATGGCCATGGGGGATGCCTATGTCATCGTGTATTCAGTGACGGACAAGGGCAGCTTCGAGAAGGCCTCAGAACTGCGGGTCCAGCTGCGGCGTGCCCGGCAAACAGATGATGTGCCCATCATCCTTGTGGGCAATAAGAGCGACCTGGTGCGCTCTCGGGAGGTCTCAGTGGATGGTGAGTAGGCGGCAGGTTGCAGGGGGAGGGAGCGCCTAGCTGGGCCCTGATCCAGTCAGTCTTGGCTTAGCTTGAGTCCCTGGGGATCATCAGAGGCTAAAAACGTTCAGGAAGAAAATTGGAGGGGAGGGAAATGGGAGAGAGCCACTGCCTGCTCACAGGGCTCAGGAAGGCCGAATCTGACAGGGGAGCTGCAGCACCATGGGGTTCTAGCCACTGCCTGCTCACAGGGCTCGGGAAGGCCGAATCTGACAGGGGAGCTGGAGCACCATGGGGTTCTCCTCTACTGCCCCTCTTGGTCCTGGCCTAGCTGGTTGGGGGGTAAGTGGGTGGAAGAGAGTGCAGGGAAACAGGCCAGGAGGTCAGAGCCTGTGTTCCAGGTCTGGGCCATTCTCAGAGTAGACTTAGCCTTGGGGAAGACCCTTCCCACTTGGCCTCAGCAGCCTTCTCTGTGGCCCCCAGCACTGAGTCCCTTAGAGAAACCCAGCAGTGACTTAGTGATCTCGCCCCCCCCATCCCCAGTCCACTGGGTCATTCATTGTGATATGAACTTAGATTAGAAAATACTAAATTTTCCAACATAGTTCTCATTTTCCTCTGTTGACTACTGTTGTACTTTGTTTAAATACCAAGCTTCAAATTATTTCAATAAATGGATCTCCTTTTGAGGGCCACTGTTTTGGGGGCTCCTTAAATGCAGGCACTCTGCCTTCTGGGTGATGCAGCAGTGCCCAGTACCCTCAGTACAGGAGCTGGGGTCTCTGTTTTGAGGGAGAACCCAGCAGATTCTCAAGTGGCAGCTCGCATGGGTGGGGCCAGGGTTGGAGGGGATTCCTCACTCACCCACCCTTTGTTTACTGGTGCCTGCCTGTCCCCTCCCACACAGAGGGCCGGGCCTGCGCGGTGGTCTTTGACTGCAAGTTCATTGAGACATCGGCAGCACTGCACCACAATGTCCAGGCACTATTTGAAGGTGTTGTGCGCCAGATACGCCTGCGCAGGGACAGCAAAGAGGCCAATGCACGACGGCAAGCAGGTACCCGGAGGCGAGAGAGCCTCGGCAAAAAGGCAAAGCGCTTCCTAGGCCGCATCGTAGCTCGTAACAGCCGCAAGATGGCCTTTCGCGCCAAGTCCAAGTCCTGCCACGACCTCTCCGTTCTTTAGGTCCCACGCACTCTCACTGTGGTGTGGTGGGCAGATGGACTGACGGATTGGTGGGCTGGCCCAGCCAACCGCCCCAGATGCCTCAGGGCTGGCTCAGACTCTGGGTCCCTCGGAGCCGCCAGCCAGGCACCCCCGACCTCATGGTCATGGACAGACAGTGCTGCCCAGAGAGGCGGCTTCCAGGGGCCAGTGAGAGCAGGGCCCACAAAGATGCACGCTCAGGCTCAGATGCGTCCCAAGCAGCCGAGCGCAGCAAAGGGGCAGGCCTGTGTGCCCGGAGAGGATTCTGCCTTTCTTCACAGCCCCGGTGTGCCTGCCCTGGAGGGAGGCTATTCAGTGTGGTGGCTCTTTGTTTACATGCAGATTTTTGTAATAAAGATTATTTCCTGATATGTCATGGCTGTTGACTCTCTTTTCTACCATCTGGGCGCTTCAGGAGCAGGAAGCATTTCTGAAGTCGAGGGATGGGGCTCACTGCCTCACCCTAGTGTGTGGCCATGATGTGTAAATGTGAGGGTCGGGATATAGCCAGATGGGACCAGCAGTGGACCTGTTTGGGGGTTTCAACCAGCAGGAGGAGGCACAAACCCCTCCCAGTCCCTGTTATCCAGATTCTTCTCTTTCTGCACTGGGGCCTGGCATTGCCCAACTGATTGAGGGTTCAATCACCTCACTGTCCGCAAAGGGAAACTGAGGCTTCTTAAGGGAGCATATTCTGTCCTGGGCCTCACAACCAGGCAGGAACCCTGGGTCTGGCTCCACAGCTGGAATTTCTGCCCTGTTCCCTCCTGAGGAGCTGGAATCAGCTGAGGTTGGGGACAGAGACATCTAAGAGGTGGTTTGTGAAGGTGCACACAGGCACACTCAACTCTACATGGCTCCTCCACCTCCCCGCTGGGGTTGAGCTACTGAGGAGGCTCTCACTGTTCTCTCCACTGTGAGTGTCCAGGCCAGAACATTCCATGGTTAGCATTGGCTAATTAGGTTTGGGTGGGAACAGCTGCCTGGAGCCCTCCCTGCTGGAATGGAAGGTCTTGCATGTGTATAGGAAGGTGTACTCGGCCGGGTACGGTGGCTCACGCCTGTAATCCTACTTGGGATAATCAGCACTTTGGGAGGCTGAGGCGGGTGGATCACAAGGTCAGGAGTTCGAGACCTGCCTGGCCAATATGGTAAAACCCCGTTTCTACTAAAAATACAAAAAATTAGCTGGGCATGGTGGTGCGCTCCTGTAGTCCCAGCTACTTGGGAGGCGGAAGCAGAAGAATCACTTGAACCTGGGAAGCAGAGGTTGCAGTGAGCTGAAATAGTGCCATAGCACTCCAGCCTGGGCGACAGAGTGAGACTCCCTCTCAAAAAAGAAAAGAAGGTGTACTTGTGCTTATGGCTGGGGGTGCACCTGTCTCCCTGCCCACCCATGCCCGTGGCTCCCCCACCCTTGGCACAAGTGCTGCTAAGAGTTTTTACCTACATGGTCTCAAGAAAATATCATCCCCATTTGGCGCTGGGTGGGAAGTGGCTGAGTGGGGAGTGGCGTACAGGTCCGCCCATCTCCAAAGCCTGGAGGCAGGCTGGGGCGAGGTGGGGGACAGTTTCTAAGAAAGTTCTGGACCAGGGTCCATACATTCCTTTCTTAGTTCGATTTATTCACTCCACAGACTCCAGAGAGCCCTTGCAACCTGGTTAGAATCCTGATTACAGCTTGTTGAATGGCAAGAGGAGGCTTGAGGGCTACCCCTCCCTGTACGGGGGAGCTCTGAGATTCACGCACATGCTCCCCAGGGCAGAGGTAACGCTCAGAGCTGTTGCTACTCTGCCCCTCTCCACAACATACTTAGAGGAATGCAGAGGGCGTGGTATTCTCAGAGCAAGTGAGGGTCCCCAGGACCTGGCTCTGTCACTTATTGGCTATGTGACCCCTAGGCAAACCACTCAGCTTCTCTGTGCCTCAGAATGTGACATGGACACAATGCCCCTTCAGAACAGAGTGGGTGGCATAATAAAGGTATGTGCTCAGAGCAGTGCTAAGCGCCTTGCAGGAGCTCAATGCATGTGAAACCCCCTTCAACCTCCCATGCTGCCCTGCTCCAGGCTGGGTGCCAGAGTGACCCTGAAGCAGGCACTCAGCTTGTGACAGGGCTAGGAGCAGCTGAGGGTAGCTTCCGGCCTGAGAGAGACTAATCAGATGTACAGTGGGAAGGACTCCGGGGTGGACCATGGGAAGCTCCAAGGCTGAGGAGGGACTGGAGATCAGGATCTTCCCACCCCCTCCCCTCGTTCCAGACTCCCAGGCCCCAGAAGCGTCTCCTAGCTCTGCTTGGCTGCCCTCACTGGGGGATGGGCCCCTGTTCAGCCCTGCAACTCTCTCAAGGTCACCTGAGCTGGTTTAATCTTCTTAAAGGCACGAGACCGTCCATTGTCTCAGCCCTGTCACTGTTGAGTGGCTGTGGCCAATGTGAGGACTTGGGGAGCTCACAGGCTGCTGCACCTCCCCACCACAGATCCCCCCTGGGGGGTGGTCTGGAGCCCCCATACCCAGTTCCGCTGATACACTGCTCACCCATCCTCTGCAACCTCCAGCTCCTTTAGTTCTACAAGCCATGGGGAGCTGCCAGGGCAGAACGAGAGCCAGATCATTGCTGAGCCCTTGGGTTCTGCTCTCAAAGGGCTTCCAGTCTAATGGAAGAGGCAGATAATGACAATCTGGTGTCCTCTGTGTATTAATAGAGATAGCACATGGCATGGTGTGAGGGGGTGGGGCATTCCCAGAGGAGGCTCCTGGACCAGCCTGGGAACATAGGGGAAGTTTCCTGGAGAAAGGAATATTTGAGCGGAGCACTGAAGCATGATCAGGTGCTTACCACAGAGATGAAGGAGTGGGAAGGGTGTTCCATGCAAAAGGAAGAGTGTGCAAAGGTGAGGCTGCAGATGCTGGCGCCTGGGAGATAAGTGAGACCAAGTCTGGAGCCACAGAAAAAGTAGTGTCCAAACCCAGAGGGCCAAGGAATACCCGCTGGTCTGTGTTGGGGTCGAGGGAGTACCAGGCCAATGATTTGCTCACCTCCTTGGGCTGGCAGTCACGGATGCTGAGCAGCTCCTAGCTTTCCAAAGTCAATGAGTAACTTGGGGGGCTGGGCGGGGCCAGGCCTGCTGCTGTGGGCCCAGTGGCCTTTTCCACTCCCAAGCAAGAGTGGCTGAACCTCCTACCTGCTCAAGTGCCCTGCCTTGCCTCACCCAGCCCGGCCTGGCCAGAGCTCCCTGGAGAAAGAGCCCTTTCGCTTGGCAGCTGGACCAAGGGAGCCAGCCTTGGGCACTGGAGGGTGAGGGGTTGGGATCGGAAGGGAGGGCATGGCTGAGGCTGGGGTTGGTGTCGGGGAGAGGGAAAACACTGCCCTGTCCTTGTCATCTGCGAAAGAATTCCCAGGGCCCCATCTTAGAGGGAGGGTCGATTTGTCGCTGCTCTGCCTGCCCAGCTCCACGACAGGGGCTGGAAAATGACGAGACGAGGGCCAGGCTCCTGCTCCAGAGGCGCTCCTTGTCTAGAGGGTGGCAGTGGGAGGTGGGACAGTCCTGGAGGCCCCATGCTAGGAGGAATCCTTCTGCGGTCAAGTCCTCTGTGACCTTGGCCAGACTCCACACTTCAGGCCTTGCCTGCAACAAGAGGTGACTTCTGGAAGTTACCCTCCAGGTCTTCAGGGACTTTCCAGCTTCAAACTTTTGTGATTTGGGGGGTTGCTAGGAAATTACCACTTTGGGATCTGGAAGCTGCAGAGGCTATGGCAAGAAGGAGCTGAAGGTCTAGAGGTGAAATTCTGGTAGAGTCCTTGAGGGGCCAAGAGCCTACATGCAGGGTGGCTGGGCCTGGGGGCCTTGGTGGGCCTGGGCTCCCAGGAGATGGGGAGCCTCAGCTCTTTTGCAGGGGAGGAAGAGGAGGCTAGTCTGTAGTTCGAGCCTTCTAGTTGTGTGTGGGGGATGGAAAGGCCCTCCCCACTTGCCTGGGCTGGATCCTCACTGTCGTGTCCCCCAGGTCTGTCCTGACCATGGTCCCTGCCTGGCTGTGGCTGCTTTGCTTCTCCATTCCCCAGGTGAGCTGGGCCGTGCCCCCTCTCCTTCAGATCTTGGCCTTGGAGGTTGACACCCTTGCCCCCAACTCCACCTGGATCAATTGCATGACTGTGAGAACAGTGCAAGGCATGGGAGGGGTCCGAGCTGGGACTACAGGGCTACTGTGGGATGAGGGCTCAAAGGCCAGACAGCGGGTGGATGGACTAAGATATGGCCAGGCGCTGGGAAAGGGCAGAAATTCCCCTCTTCTGTTGGGTCTCAGTGCCCAGGCAGGAGGCTAGAGCCTGGTGACAAAGTTGGAATCCTCCCACAGGCTGTCCTGGAGGCCCAGCTTGCAGAGCTGTCTGTGGAAGTTCCAGAAAACTATGGTGGAAATTTCCCTTTATACCTGATGAAGGTGAGCCTGAGAGTTGGGGGTTCCCTTCCCATGAAGTCCTGCTTTTCCTTCCTCTGGCACCCTTCCTCTTGCTGTTTCTCTTTGAAAGCCTGCTTTCCAGAGAGAATGTACATGTTATACAGGTTAAGTGTCCCTTATCTGAAATGCTTGGGACCAGAAGCGTTTCAGATTTTGGATTTTGTTTTCAGATTTTGGAGTATTTGCATACACATCATGATATATCTTGGGGGATGGGACCCAAATCTAGACATAAAATTCATTTATGTTTCATATATGCCTTACACACATAGCCTGAAGGTGACGTTATACATTTCCTTTTGAGATGGAGTCTCCCCCTTTTGCCAGGCTGGAGTACAGTGGCATGATCTCGGCTCACTACAGCCTCTGCCTCCTGGGTTCAGGCGATTCTCCTGCCTCAGCCTCCTGAGTAGCTGGGATTACAGGCATCTGCCACCACGCCTGGGTAATTTTTTGTATTTTTAGTAGAGACAGGGTTTCACCATGTTAGCCAGGATGGTCTCAACCTCCTGACCTTGTGATCCACCTGCCTTGGCCTCCCAAAGTGCTGGGATTACAGGCATCAGCCACCGCGCCTGGCCTTTTTTTCCCTTTTTCTTTTGAGGCTAAGTTTCATACTTGTTGCCTGAGCTGGAGTGCAATAGTGCAATCTCAGCTCACTGCAACCTCCGTCTCCTGGGTTCAAGAGAGTCTCCTGCCTCAGCCTCCTGAGTAGCTGGGACTAGAGGTGTATGCCACCATGCACTGGTAATTTTTTTGTTGCTGTTGCATTTTTAGTAGAGACGGGTTTTGCCACATTGGCCAGGCTGGTCTTGAATACCTGACCTCAGGTGATCCACCCACCTTGGCCTCCCAAAGTGCTGGGATTACATGCGTGAGCCACCGCGCCTGGTTGAATATTTTAAAATGATTTTGTGCATGCAACAAAGTTCTGACTATGTGTTGGCCGTGACCCGTCACATGAGGTCAGATGTAGTATTCTCCACTTGTCATGACATCTTGGCACTCAAAAAGTTTCAGATTTTGGAGTATTTCAGATTTTCAGGTTAGAGATGCTCAACCTGCAGTGAGAATGACTAACAAGGTTTTAATCCCAGCAGAGACTAGAGCTTTAGGTTAAAGAATGAAATCTTGGTGGTGAGGTTTCAAGCTTCAGAAAGAAGGACAGGGAGTTTTGGGGAGCATCTGGTCTAGGGAAAAGAGTTCTGCCACTGAGTCTTAGTCCTGATGCTTACCGGCTGTGTGACTTCAGACAGGAGCCAGACATCTCCGAGACTCAGTTTCCCCACATATAAAATGAGGCCATCAGGTGGACGGAGGGCATCTCCCAGGCCTGGCCACTACTCCCTTCACTTCTGTTCATCCCCATCAGCTGCTGCTGCCCCGTCAGGGAGCTGAAGGCCAGATTGTGCTGTCAGGGGACTCAGGCAAGGGAGCTGAGGGCCCCTTTGCTATGGATCCAGATTCTGGCTTCCTGCTGGTGACCAGGGCCCTAGACCGAGAGGAGCAGGCAGAGTACCAGCTACAGGTATGTCTGGACTGGGTGTAGGGGAGAGCAGGCAAGGCAGGGTCAGATGCTGACTCCCCTTCCCTGCTAGGTCACCCTGGAGACGGAGGATGGACGTGTCTTGTGGGGTCCACAGCCTGTGCTTGTGCATGTGAAGGACGAAAATGACCAGGTGCCCCATTTCTCTCAAGCCATCTATAGAGCTCAGCTGAGCCAGGGCACCAGGCCTGGTGAGTGGCCAGGGCAGCTAACTTGATGGGACAGCAGAGAACAAAGAGATAGCCAGACAGTTAGCATAGGGACAGGGAAGCCATTTCTGTCTCATTTCTTTTTTCTTTTTTTTTCTTTTTTTTGAGACAGAGTCTTGCTTTGTTGCCCAGTCTGGAGTGCAGTGGTGCAATCTCACCTCACTGCAACCTCTACTTCCTAGGTTCAAGTGATTTTCCTGCCTCACCCTCCCAAGCAGCTGGTACTACAGGCACACATTACCACTCCTGGCTATATATATATATATATAGTATTTTTAGTAGAGACAGGAGGTTTCACCATGTTGGCCAGAGTGGTCTCGAGCTCCTGGCTTCTTGAGGTGATCTGCCCGCCTCAGCCTCCCAAAGTGCTGGGATTACAGGCATGAGCCACCTCGCCCAGCCCATCCTGTACCATTTCTGTCCCACGTTGTATCCCTCTACTCTACTGAGGGTCCCATCCACTCTTGGCCTCAGTTTGCTCATCTGGGAAGTAGGACAAAAAGCCGTGGCTCATCTCCAGAGTCCTGATGTGATGATGGTTAGGGAGAAATAGGAGAGGCATGGGAGACTCTCCCCACTCTCTCTATCCCTTACAGTTTACCCTCCCACCATGAACCAGGCATCCCCTTCCTCTTCCTTGAGGCTTCAGACCAGGATGAGCCAGGCACAGCCAACTCGGATCTTCGATTCCACATCCTGAGCCAGGCTCCAGCTCAGCCTTTCCCAGACATGTTTCAGCTGGAGCCTCAGTTGGGGGCTCTGGCCCTCAGCCCCAAGGGTGAGCCTGAGTGGGTTGTGCTGGGGAGGGAGGGTCAGAGAAAGCTGGAGAAGGTGGCATCTGAACATAAGACATGCATGGGTGGGAGCTTGAGAGGTAAAAAAGGAAGGAAGGGCACTCTAGGTGGAGATAGCAGCAAGGCAGGTGGCCATGGAGGCAGGGCCAGGCATGGAGAGCTGGGAAATGGTATGAACAGAAGGCATCAGCTCCATGCTCCAAGAAGACCCAGGCCTAAGGGACAAAGATAGGAATAGTCTGAGGAGCTGTAGCCTAAGATGTGGCTGGGCAACCTCACGATTGATGGCAGAAGAGACCTGGATCTGGAAACTCAGACAACAGGCATGAATTAGGGATGGAAAGAAAAGTGAATCAGACATCATTATGGCCAGCCACGCGCCCACCCACCTACTACCCAAACACCTACACAGTCCATCCATCCACCCCTCACTCATCCAAACACTCTCCCATTCACACACTCAAAGTCCCATTCACCTACCAAATCAACCACCCATTCATCCAACCCATCATCTACCATCTACCCACCTCCTCATCCTGGATATCCATCTATACCTCTAATCTATCACTCATTCATTGTGTGGATAGATATCGAGGTGGCTTTGCAAACTGTCATGTCCTGGTTGGATGCTTACAACAGTGCTTAAAATTCCTCTCTTCCATTGGCCAAGAGAGTGTCCCAATCACCTGCCATATGCTTGGTTTTGTGTCTGGTATTCTGCTGAGAATGAAGCCCTGGCCCCTGCTCTCTGGCCCCCTGCTCAGCTGACCATCCTCCCTGTTTTAGGGAGCACCAGCCTCGACCACACTCTGGAGGGCCACTACCAGCTGTTGGTACAGGTCAAGGACATGGGCAACCAGGCCTCAGGCCATCAGGCCACTGCTACCGTAGAAGTCTCCATAGTAGAGAGCATCTGGGTGCCCCTAAAGCCTATCCATCTGGCAGAGAATCTCAGAGTCCTGTACCCCTACCATATTGCCCAGGTGAGTAAGTGGCTGTCAGTGGCTGAAGCAGCACTATGGACGGTGCAGCTGGGCCTGAGTCTCATGGATATTTGGGGGCTGACTCTGGAACCCACGTGACCCCTGCTCCTTCCTCCACTCTTCCCATCACTTCCCACTGTAGACTGGGGTGTTCAAGACACTGGGCGCAGGCCCACAGCCCCTCGCCTGCCTTGCCATCCTCTAGCAGCCATGACTCTGTGCTCTGACCTCTTGAACTTGCCCAAAGCTTCCTCAGAGAGAGCAGCTGCCACCTCTTGCTGCCATGGGGATTGTCACCCCGGCCAGGAATGTCTCAGGCCTCTTCTAGGAATGCCCTGGGGTCAGGCCCAGGCTGTGAGGACAGAAAATAAAGTAACCTGGTCATTCAGGCACTTTGGGTAGGGTCCAGGCTTGGACCAGGACAAGGCCACTAACAACAAGTGCCCTGAACAGAAGGATCCCACCTGGACTCTAGGTCCAGGGAGGGCAGCACTTTGCCTGGGTCACACAGCTGGGACCCAGGCTCCTCACCCAGAAATCAGATGGGGCTCAAGGGCTGACATAGACTGTTCCTGCCCCTCGGCCTGGGGTGTCCCTCCCAGGTACACTGGAGTGGGAGTAATGTGCACTATCACCTGGAGAGCCATCCCCCGGGACCCTTTGATGTGGATGCAGAAGGGAACCTCTACGTGACCAGAGAGCTGGACCGAGAAGCCCAGGCTGAGGTGATATGAACGGGGAGCCAGGGATGCAGGCTGGGGGTGCTTGGTCACTATCCAGTTGATTTTTGGGGATGTCACAACTGCAACAGAGGCTGAGGTAGTGGAAAAGAGCCTTGAAGAGCTGGAGCTTGCTGACCAGAAGGAAACTCAGAGCCAGGCAAGGCTGGAGCTGCCCTTGGTCCTGACCTGAAGCCCCTTCACTGCCCACTGCAGTATCTGCTCCAGGTGCGGGCTCAGAATTCCCGTGGTGAGGACTATGCAGCGCCTCTGGAACTGCATGTGCTGGTGATGGATGAGAATGACAACCCGCCTGTCTGCCCTGCACGTGGTCCTGCAGTCAGCGTCCCTGAGCTCAGCCCCCCAGGTGAGCTACAGGCTTAGTAGGGATGGGAGAGGGGCAATGTCTCTATGAACCGCCTGGTGTTGCTCTTCTCTGGGACAAGGACCCAGCCTCAGGCCCCCATGTCAATGTCCCTCCACAACACACACACACACACACACACACACACACACACACACACACACACACGCGAGCTCAAGTTCAGTTCAGCACAAAAGAGGAGTCGGAGGGTAAGGCCCCCAGGCTGGGCTGTGGTCCCATCCAGGCGGGTGCTGTCTTGCAGGTACTGAAGTAACTAGACTGTCAGCAGAGGACGCAGATGCCCCCAGCTCCCCCAATTCTCACATTGTGTATCAGCTCCTGAGCCCTGAGCCTGAGGATGGGGTGGAGAGGAGAGCCTTCCAGGTGGAAACCACTTCAGGCAGTGTGACACTGGGGGGACGCCCACTCCGAGCTGGCCAGGACATCCTGCTTCTGGTGCTGGCCATGGACCTGGCAGGCGCAGAGGGTGGTAAGTGCCTTGGCTGGTGACCTAGGTCCCCTGTCCCCTCTGTTCCTACCCCGACCTCACCAACATGCCCTCTCTGCCCCAGGCCTCAGCAGCACATGTGAGGTTGAAGTCACAGTTGCAGACATCAATGATCACGCCCCTGAGTTCACCACTTCCCAGGTAAGCAGACACAGGAGAGGAGGCCTTGGGAAGGATGCTGGCAGGGGGCTCACCACCCCATCTTCTTCTCTAGATTGGGCCTATAAGCCTCCCTGAGGATGTGGAGCCCAGGACTCTGGTGGCCACGCTCACAGCCACTGATGCCGACCTCGAGCCTGCCTTCCGCCTCATGGATTTTGCCATTGAGAGGGGGAACACAGAAGGGACCTTTGGCCTGGATTGGGAGCCAGACTCCGGGCATGTCCAACTCAGACTCTGCAAGGTGAGGGCCGGGGTAGCTGGGAAAGGGGCCCACACATGCACGCACATGTGCCTTGCTCAGGCCTGCACAGTGACCTGGGCCTCCCGGTTCCAGAACCTCAGCTATGAGGCAGCTCCAAGTCACGAGGTGGTGGTGGTGGTGCGGAGTGTGGCAGAGCTGCTGGGGCCAGGCCCAGGCCCTGGAGCCACGGCCACGGTGACTGTGCTGGTGGAGAGGCTGACACCACCCCCCAAGTTGGACCAGGAGAGCTACAAGGCCAGTGTCCCCATCAGTGCCCCAGCTGGCTCCCTCCTGCTGACTGTCCAGCCCTCCGACCCCATGAGCCGACCCCTCAGGTGAGCCGAAAGCCCAGCCCCCTACTTGGACTGGATCGTCCCTGCTCCTTGGGGATGACCCCAGGGCCTCAGAGGGGATTCACATTATCGACAGCCTGCAATATTTCTCAAACTATGGCAAATGCCAAGGTTGTGCCTCCTGGCAGGGATTGGGGCTGGGTAGACTAAGTAGGGCATGGGTGGGGGTGTTTTGGACCCCATGAGAGCTCGGATTATGCCTCAGCACCTGGAGGGAAGACCAGGCCCTCCTCCAATGCCCCCCAACACATTGCAGACAGACAAGGTTGTTCCCAGGCTCCAATTCCTTTGCAGGGTGACCTGGAACAAGCAAAGTCGAAATGGGCCTCCCAGGTTCTGAGAGTCTCTCCCTGTCCCACGTGATCTATTGTTCACCACACACCCAACACCACAACCACAACCACAAATCCTGAAGCTAGAGAGAGAGACTGGGCACCCCAGGCTTTGCTGTGGCCCCTGAGTCACAGAGAGGGTATAGAATTTAAGCAACTCACATGGCCCTGGGGAATTCTGAACAAAACCCTATATGTAGTCCCAGTACCTCCTCACCCTCTTCCTTGGGCGGCAGGTTCTCCCTGGTCAATGACTCAGAAGGCTGGCTCTGCATTGAGAAGTTCTCCGGGGAGGTGCGCACCACCCAGTCCCTGCAGGGCGCCCAGCCTGGGGACATCTACACTGTGTTTGTGGAGGCCCAGGATGCAGGTATGGCCAGGCAGCGGTGAGAGCCCCTGGGAGGGGATACAAACCTCAGACAGACAGACAGCAGAACTGAGCTTCCGCCCAGAGGCCCTCGCTAGCAACCCCCAGCTCCAAGCAGGAGAACAGACGTGAAGCTGGGTTCAGTGTTCCTCTCTGAGAATGCATCTACTCCTCCGGTGGCATGTCTGGTGTCTGCCTCCCCTCTCTCACCACTCTCGTAGATTGACCCTCAAAATCCCCCAACCTTGTCCTTTAGCCCTGGAAAGTCCTTGCCCTTTAGCCCCTCAGAGTGTCAGCTTCAGGGACTGGTACAGGGCCAGGGAGGTGGCAAGAGGGCCAGGGGCTGCCCCTGGGGAAGGAGTGCTGGAGTGAATGGGCCACTGGGGCTGGGTGTGGAGGACTGTGAACACTGCTCAGGACAGAGAGCTGGCCCCGGGATGGGGAGCTCCGGGAGGCAGGGTTCAGCTCCAAGCTGGGCTGTGATACAGAGCAGAGCCAACGGCAGTGAGCTCCGCCAATCAGGGATGTTCACAGTGGCATGGGGATGATGACAGGTGGAGAGAAGTGTGGCAGAGGAGTCTGCAGGGCCAGACTCATGGGCTGTAGGAGCAGCCCAGGGACCTTGGAGCTCACCCCTCCCCTGACAACACCCAGCCAGCTCAGCACTGCCTCCTCTGCAGATGAGCCAAGACTGAGCACCTCTGCGCCCCTGGCGATCCACTTCCTGAAGGCCCCTCCTGCCCCAGCCCTGACTCCTGCCCCTGTGCCCTCTCGATACCTCTGCACGCCCCGCCAGGACCATGGCGTGATCGTGAGTGGACCCAGTGAGGACCCTGACCTGGCCAGTGGGCACAGTCCCTATAGTTTCGCCCTTGGTCCCAACCCCACGGTGCAACGGGATTGGCGCCTACAGACTCTCAATGGTGTGTGGTGGGGAAAGGGAGGGAGGCTGTGGCCCAGGCAGGGAGAGGGGGGTCACTTGGAAGTGAAGTGCCTCTCTACCATGGGGGAGGGGCTGGGCCTAGAGGGAGCAGCCCCCAGAGAGCCTGTCCAGGCTGGTGACCCTGGTCGTTGCCTGCTGTCCCGACAGGTTCCCATGCCTACCTCACCTTGGCTCTGCACTGGGTGGAGCCGCGTGAATACATAGTCCCCGTGGTGGTCAGCCACAATGCCCAGATGTGGCAGCTCCGGATTCAGGGTGAGGTTGGGCTTGGGTGCAGCCTGCAGTTCCTGAGAGACGCAGGGGGAGGGAGCTGGGTACACATGCATACAGGATCCTTCCATGGGCAGCACATGCCTGTGCACACTTGCACACCTATGACTGGGCACACATACCTGTGTGCACACAGGAACAGGCACAGAGGCACAAACTTTTTTTTTTTTTTTTTTTTT